GCCCTTATGCATGAGAAGCGGGCGTCTTTAACCTCCAGGCCACAAGGACATGATATGATACAATGACCACCATTTTAAAACAAACCAAATTTAAACTGAATCACAATACAACTATGCCCACAATTCTTATTTAGTATTTAATTTCAATAATTAGTTATTATTGAATCGTTCATAAAACAAATAAACTCGTAATAGATGCTTATCGATAAAATGTTATTTGCATAATTACAAACATTACTGCAATCCCTATATATTGGCATTTAGCTTAATACGTGTAACCCCAATAATTGGCAGTATCATGTTAATTTTAAGTATTTCCAATAACATACAATTATGAGGCAATATCACCTTTATAATAAACACTTGAATTCAGTGTTACAAATTACAATCACCAAAAAATAGCGTTCTATATTTTTAAAATGCTTTGAAAATATATATTTGCATAGTTATAAAAACACATTAAGGAAAGTGTTATTTTATAGCATTACTTAGAATATGATGCTTAATACGTAAAAAGGTTATGTTTCTGTTAATATGTTAAAGTTAAGTTTATTAATAATTCATTTTGTTTACAACAACATCATGCAGTACCTATGTACCTCATGCTTGTAATGTGTTGTCCTTTGTAATATTGTCTGTGTGGTGTAGAGACATGAAATTGATAAATAAATAAATAAATCATCCATGTCTTGGAATATAATAATGGCGAGCAACTTTAAATGAAAGATGTTCGGTATACTACCATCCGATTCTTTATTTCAAAATCCTCAATAAGCTCACAAAGTTATTACGAAATTCAGGTGTTCTTTGGAAAATAAAACCTACAGCGCTCAACTACGTATTTGTGTTAACCTTTTTAATAACAACTCTTGCAAATAACAATAGAAAAAAAATAATGGAAAACAAGGATGTAAAAGATTGAAAGAATTGTTGAATTAATAGAATATGGAGGGGCCATGAAGGCAGTGAACCGGTAAAGAAATCGATCAGAGAAAATTCTAGAAACCCATATGCATACTTTAATGGAAGTAGTATGAGTTATTTAGTATTTAAAGGTGTCTGAAAATATCACCATCACAACCAAAACATAGTCATATTCCATCTATTCACTTTCAACCTACTTGATACTTTGAAACTACCTAAATCTATTTTAAACAATAAAACAGTGGCAGCATTGCAACGATAAATTTATGTCAACATAAATAAGTACCTTTAATACCTCGCACGATGTGGCCACAAACCGAAGTCTAAATATTTGGTCCGAGGCGACTCTCTTATTACATTTCCGCGGACCCCAGCCCCTACCTGCAAAATTTAATTATGCCCTCCACATACGTCCCGATTCGTAAAGTCCGTCTGCCACGGCTAGCGAGCGAAATAAATATGAGCAAACGACTTGGTTCGTAGACTTCCTAAGTTGCGTCTGCTCGCGCACTCCATTGTTCCAGCAGTATCTCATAGCTAGCACTGGACAGTCCCCCTAGCACCCGCACTATCCAGTATTCCTTCAAACCAACTTTCATTTTACTAATGAAAATTTTCCTGTATGCGCTTTTTAGACTTTTGATTATTCGGTTTGTTCGTTCCACGATTATATTGTTTACGGACCAAACAAAGCTTTATAAATTAGTCTTTTGTCTGTTTTGTTAGATTCTCGGCTCACAAAGAACTGCCGGGACTAACCACCTTCATTAAAGCGAATATTTTTTTAACATTTTTTGAATGTAAACTGCATTATTTTGTCGGCATTGATTTTCTCTTGTGAGTTTTTAATTAATGCTCGTAGCTTCGATAAACATGTTGTTTCAAAAACAAATGAACGTGCTGATTTAAGTGCTTTGTTTTTAGCGGATTGAATTCAAAATGAATTGCAATATCAATAGACGGTAAACGTATTGACTTTAGAGTTCAATTTACTCTGTCACTAAATTACACACAAAAATACTGAGAGAAGTTTAGAACAGCACTTCCAATCTCGCAATAATTTGTGAGTTTTGTGACGTCAATACTAGAGTTCAAACGTTAGTACATAAACTAGTCTCCAAAGCAATCTACTGAACTAACATTTGCAAAATAAACTGCGAAAGCGATGTTGCAATCAATAATACAATCGTGTCAAATATAGTTAGCAGTTCTGGGTAAACTGGAGTTTTTCGCTACAGTTCGGGCATCGGATGCGATCGGGAATCGAATAAACTTACCAGACTTACCTGAATTCGTATTACTTAAGCTGCATTTCTGGAAATACATAAAGAGAAATCAATTTACTTTTCGAGTAATACCAGAACGGTTCCAATTGCGAACTTGAAGGTTTTGTGAGAGCCCGTCGACTGTCGAGGACGAGGGGGGGACTTTAATATTTTTGTCGAGGTCGAGACGACAACTCCGTCGCTTTGCACGAAGACGGTGCACGGTAATCAGGAAAATTATTTACTCATGTCTACGAGGCTCGCAGGGTTCGCACGAAATCATTTCGTTAGCAACCAGCTTATTTGAGAACGGGGTTGTACTTTGTGTATAATATTTACCATTAGTGTTTGTTGTTTACTTTTCTTTCTAGGTTTTATATTTTTTTAAGAAAATGTTAGTTAAAACATTCAATTTTATGCTACACATTTATGAATTAATAATGTAAGTAAATTCCCAGGCAATAGAGTTTACAGTCAAATACTAGACATCATTATAACTTTATTATAACTAAGAATTTTTAATCAAAGAAAACGTTTCAGGCTGATGCCTTAGTACGAGCTTGTTTTACGTTTAAAGTAATCAAAATGAAACCTCGTCCGGCGCTCTAATTGGTTGGTTCATTAGATCCGGCCAATCAGAGCATCGAACGCGTAGTGCTATCGAAGTGCCAAACACAAGCCCCTCATTCATACCAGTTGCAATTGTGCCCAAAACGTTTTTAATCATGAAAAATTCACGCACCTTTTTCCATCGTGTTGACATCCCTGCGATATTGCAGAATGAAGAGCCAAGGGAAATACGCTCCGGAGACGCTTTGTAAATAGTCACCGCAATGGCTTCTTGCAGATTAATTTCAAGTGAGAGTGCATCATAAGGCTGTATTGAAAGCAGAACCAACCGTGTCACAGGACTTATACCCTTCTGGTGATATTAATATATTAATATCAAGACTATATTGCGGTGCACCACTCGTTGAGGCTGTTTACCCATTTTGATAGAGAACGTCATTAGGGGAATAATAAATTAGCTTGGAATGTCTGAATATGTTTAGTTAATTGTTTTCTGTATTCTGTGGTTGTTGTAAGTGTAGAATGTGTAAATATTTAAAGAATTCATGTTTGGAATCTGAGCTGAAATATTTAGGCACTCGTGTAAATTGTTTTTATTGGTATGTTGTTAATCATTAGAAAGTTTTGCTTATATAACTGGTTTGTAAATTGTTTCCAAAAAGTTTTATTTGAACAAATGGATACAATAGGATTTAACCTAAATATACATTCCACCTATCAGTTTTTGGCATCATCATCGTCATAATAGACAAAAGATTCACACCTAAATAATAATTTTGAATAATTTGTGTTTGTGATGTAATTTTATGGTAAATTCAAGTAGGTGTGGTTTTACTTTTATCTACAGTAGTAATTTAGCTTTTAAATACTAGAATAATTACATATTTATCAGCTAATTAATAATGACGCAGTTAGCAAAAGAAATATAACCTTACTTGGTTTTTGCCATTTTATTACGACAGATAAGTAAACTTTATAATTAAAAAATAAAGAAACTCTGTGGTCGAATTCTACTGTTTTATTTAAGTTTTCCCTTGGGTGTTTGTATTTCCCCCACTTTCCCCTAATACTATACCATTTTATTTTATTTTAATTAAATACACAAAAATAAATAAATATATTTAACACGAATAACACAAGAATGTGCCCTGATTAGAACTATCTGGGAGTATCGGTTTAGTTTTGACTGAGTTCAAGTTAGAGTGGTTTTAGACAAACAAAGCCTACTCTTGCTTACTACTGATAGTGAAGCTTTCTCACAATGGATCCTGTGTTGCAAATAATGGACTGGTGAGCTACTGTGCAGCTTTGTGCCGTATGGTGCCTAGATAATAAGAGTTGTACGGTGACTACGTGGGTTGAAAGGGTTTCTAGTACTAAAACCATTTGTGTTAGTGAATTCTTCGGATAACTGTGTGATGTAACTGTATAGTATTAGTATGTTATACTACCTATGTATTAATTATTGATTGTGTAATTATTATTAAATTACTTGATTAAGTAACTCAATTTCCTTTCTTTTTATTGTAAGCAAAAATTTTGTATGTATTTGATAGGTTACATTTTGTTAAAAGGTATGATGGGGTTGGCATATCAAAAATAAAAACCCCTTAAATAAAAACAGATTAAAAAAAAAGTGTAATCTGTATACATTGTTGTATATTGATGATAATGATATTGTTATCATTTTAGTAAATTAATTTCTGGTTTAAAATTGAATCACCCGTTACAATTTTTTACCATCAGGTAACCTCTCTGCTCGTTTACCGGCTTATCCCATAAAAAAATACAATTTATTGTATTTCAGGCAGTACAATACACAATGTCGGACAGTACCTCAACATTCGCAATACACTCCTTCCCTTAATTAAGACGAAACTACTTAAACGTCGGCATCTGGTTTTAACAAAATAATCACAGCAATTTATCTTTCCCCGTTTGGAGTTGAAACCAAAACTTTTAGAATCAAAACAACTTTCTTCATCCTATCGTTTTCCCGGTTGTCAGGGGTCGTTTATAAATTAAATTATTTCTGTTTCTAAGCCGAGCATAATCGAGATCCTTTCTAATGACAGAGGTCATAAAAGGTGATTAAAACGTTAACAAAGGTTTTGCTTTCAACTGACCTCTTTAATGAATGAACCTAGTTAATTCTAGAAACCGCGTAGTTTTTACTTACTGTCATTAGAAGATATGAAAGATTTCAATTCTTTTTATTATTTCAGTTTTACTGAAGCTGTCTTAAGCCTTGAACTTTAAGTATGGGGCTTTGATCAATGGAATGTCCCTCCACAAGTTAGAAGTCAAGTACGTATAGGTCTTAGTGATTGCAGCATAAGTGGCCTTGGCGAAGTTTCCAAAGGTGCCAGTAGAACCAGGAGCGGAGGTGTAGTAGTCCTCGACACCAGCCATCTGAAGCAGCTTCTTAGGTACAGGAGCTGACACAATACCAGTACCACGAGGAGCAGGGTTCAAGGATAATGTCGTGTGTTATGAATTATGATCTATTGAAGTGACGTTCAAGGTCTACATTCATAGGTAATGATTAACCAGTTTTCATATAACAATAATATAACTTGAGAGAAACTTTCTATCGAATTTTGTTATATAGTCATACCAGAACTAAGAAACTTAACTTAAACTTGACACAATATTAATAAACTTTCTAACAGTCGAACTTCATCTTCATCAATGTCTAGGCACTACTATCAATACAACCTCAATAGATGTGAACTCGATACAGCAATCAATATAATATCATCAATAGAACAAACAAAACGAAGATTCGTTCGTGCAAAAGTTTAATTTAATCAGAGTAAAATGTTTGAGGAACGAACAACTCCAGTAAGGCAGGTTGTTGCGAGCCTCCAACTTTGAACAGTACTACAGCATAGAGTAGCCACTTCAAACTTAGAGTATTCTACGTGATAGCGAACTATGCAGACGTTAAAATTTAATTTAAATGAACTTGCTTGTTTATTGTCAGACGTACGTAGGTATATCTAATAATATTATATTTCAATGAAATCCTATCTGTGGTTAGTTGGAAAATTAAATTGTTTCTTATGTCGTAGTAGCATATTTTTTTATGTAAATAATAATGAGAAATGACTGCGGGCTTCTGGCGTGGCTTGAAACCAATCAAGTATTTTCATCAATCAACTACATAGAATAAGTTGTGCAAATTAACTAATAATGAACAAAATAGGCCGTAAAAATAAATTTTTATTTAAAATCAAAAAAGATACATAATAAAAATTACAATCTAAATTATACCTAAATAAAAACGGTGGTTGAATTCAAACAATATTTTCGTGAAAATGTCGGATTTGTTACGTAATAATATAAAAATAAAACTATTATTAAAACATTAACGGTAGCTTAGTATATAATAATGCTATATTATTATTATTAGCTATCTATTTGTACATCGTTGCTTCGTCTTCTTCCTTCTTGACGGCTTGGATGAGGACCAGGGACATGACGGCATTCACGACCTAGAAAAAACGTATACACACTGAATATTGTACATTATGTCAATATAATGAAAGACATAATTATATATATATTTGTAAGGGATAGACAGACGAACAGACGGTTCACCTGATGATAAGTAATCAGTACTGCCCATGGATATTTTCAGTAACAAATGCAAAACCATCACCAGATTTTTTATATTTCATGGGGCGACGTTTGACCACTATCTCGCCCGGTGGTAAGCGATGATGCGGTCTACGATGGAGCACGTCGACCTATAAGCAACCTATTCACTCGGGCCTTGAAGACTCCCAGGCTCCCAGGTTTATACACTTCAGGAAATACAGACTCTGGCAAAGAATTCCACTTCCACTTATTGAGATTCAACATGAAAATATTAGAAGGACTATCACCTGATTTATGTAAAACATCCTTAAGATTTATTTATACAACTTCATAATACGTTACACATCATCAATAGCCTATAAGTGGTCACTACTGAGCAATGCCACTTTTCATACGGAAAAGGTTTGAGCATTAATCACCACGTTTGAGCAATGCATGTGGGCGATTTCAAACTTATTGAAATTGTGAGCTTAGGTTTCGTCATGATGTTTTCCTTTACTGTTTGTCGGTGGAGTCTTAATATTCTTAGAAAGTACATGTAACTCGGAAAAAGTCGCATTGGTATTTGCTGTTGGTAGGTTTTGAACTCGCACTCTCATATACAGAACAGAAGCGGTCATGTTAAACCTCCGGGCCACGACAGACGAAGTTACATATATAAAAGAATATTAAAAAACTTTCTAGAAAACGCTATATTAATGTAATTAACTGTCTTTCATCAAATCTCGTCCTTGTTGCTATGATTCTCGAAACTCATTAAAGCTATAACGACCAACGTGTACCAGAAATTATAGTTTTACGAGGACATGATATTATTTAAGATGTTTAATGTCACCCTGGTTTAAGGGGCTGAGTTTCATGGGAACTTAGGATGATATACGATATGTTTACTATAGGTACCTATCCTTCATCTTTTCAACCAAATATCTATATTATAAGAATCTTTTAAAAAGAAAACATAGTAACTAGTGGAGTTTTTTACTCGTTCTTCTCTCCATATGAATCTACATTTTGAAACGACTACCTAGCTTCACTGACGGGCAGACTGATAGACTATTATTTATATCGTATTTGTTGACGTTTCAGAAGTACCAAAATATGGTTGAATATTGAAATAAATGCTTTGACTTTGACTCTCTCTTCATGTATCTCTTTCTCCTAAATTTAGAAGGCACATCTCTATATGACATTTACACTGCTCTTATATTTTTCTGTCATTTCTACAACAACCGTTATATTTTTGTAAATACCTACATAATAGGTATGAAATAACTAAGTACTCAAGTAAATATTAGAAATCATCTTATTTTGTCATAGCATATTAATAAAATTTTAATATATTAATCTACGTCATTTATTTTTCGAGTGCTCTTACAAAAATAATTTAGGTATATACTTGAACAGCCGCGTAAAAGGCCGTCGTTGTTACCTATAGACGATTATGAATCCATTATGAAGCCACTTTACCTTTAAAGTGGAACTCATGATTGCTTCGTGATGAAGCTTAAAATCTACATAATTAATCTGCAATCTAGTTTTGCCATATTAAATCTTTGGATAATGGTTGCCATGTGGATTAGGCCTTGCCGGTCTAGTTGATACTAGGCAGTTATTGACTAGGAATATCGATTTTTCTGCATGCAAAATGCTTTCCTATACTTAATTTCATTTTAGTTTTAACTACACTACTACTATTCCACATATGTACATTTCTTTTTAGCAAAGCCGTCCAATAATAAAGCTTGAAACTCCAAAAAGAATTAAGAAAAGAAAACTTTATTTATGTGAATTTCATACTAAAACCAATAATTATCACTAATACTCAAACTTCACAAGACATAAGTATTTTAAGTTCCCAAATGCATCCTCAACGACAAACGAAATGGTTTTATAACAAAATTTCAGAATTTCAAGCTTACTTTCTGCATACTTGTAAGGACGGGGTATAAAAGCCAAACGTGCTATTATTTTCGCTTTACTCCCGAGACAAGATAAGAACGCAGATAACTACATCATTAGAGTAGCATACAAAACTATTTTCACAACAAAATAATATTATCTTTTATACTCCTAGGAGTCTTTATTATATTTTTATAGCTTACTGTAACCGAAGTGCAGCGTGAGAATCTCAAAGTTTCTTTTTAATCAGTAAAATGCTTTTTGAACTAAAATTGGGAAAAACTGGCGGTTTTAAAGGACATTTTTTATTTTATTCAACAATGACACGTGTCCTCTAAAGGCCTCCGTCGAAAACACTCTACTTTATAATACTTATACTATACTTTAAGTGTGGCAGAGCCATGCTTCGCCCCGAATGGGCCAGCTCGACCGGAGTGATACCACGGCCTCACAGAAAACCAACGTGAAGCAACGCTTGCGTTGTGATTCGTCGTGTGAGTGAGGTTACCGGAGGCCCAATTACCCTCCCCTTCCCCAATCTCCCCAATCCCTGAATCCCCAACGATCCTCAAACTCCTAATCCCCAAAAGGCCGGTAACACACTTGTAACGCCTCTGGTGTTCCATTGTCCAAGGGCGACGCCGATTGCTTACCATCAGGTGATCCGTCTGCGCGTTTAACGGCTTACGCCATAAAAAAAAAACACTCTACTTTATAATACTTATACTATACTTTAAGTGTGGCAGAGCCATGCTTCGCCCCGAATGGGCCAGCTCGACCGGAGTGATACCACGGCCTCACAGAAAACCAACGTGAAGCAACGCTTGCGTTGTGATTCGTCGTGTGAGTGAGGTTACCGGAGGCCCAATTACCCTCCCCTTCCCCAATGTCCCCAATCCCTGAATCCCCAACGATCCTCAAACTCCTAATCCCCCAAAGGCCGGTAACACACTTGTAACGCCTCTGGTGTTCCATTGTCCATGGGCGACGCCGATTGCTTACCATCAGGTGATCCGTCTGCTCGTTTACCAGTTAATTTCATAAAAGAAAACACATAATAGTAACTTACAGCAATCATGCAGGAAGCCAGCACAATGCCAGCCAACCAGCCAGTCTTGCCTTCAAGATACCAGGTGAGCTCATCAACGCAGCCGTGGAAGTAAGCATTGCCAGTGACAGAGTCTCGGCATTCAGCGGGCAGTGGTTTGTTCATGTTGATAAAGTCCATGGGACCGTCAGCTCCACAGCAACCAATCTGAAGGAGAAAACATATTATGAAATAAATATATGGAGAATTTTGAACTTTATTTTAAACTGATTATAAGTGCAACAACTTAAGAAGGAATAGAATCGAATTAGACTAATTAATTTGAAATCATATTATCATCAGATCGTAGTTTATCGTCAAACATTTCAAAATCAATTATCCAAATTGATAATTAGAATGAAACCGTAAATCAAATCCTAATTAATTAAATAGGATCTATTGAATCCAGAACCGCTTATTAATTACGTTGGTATAATTTTCGTAAGTAAAGGTGATACTTCTGTCTTTTTGCCATTTAAAAAAATCAATGAACCACCTCAATAATGCACTTAAACAGTCTCACTTTTAAACAAAACTTTAGGCAAGAAAGCTCCTACAGATTTAACCTCTAAACATCGACAATCGATGAATCGAGTGTGACGAGTATCGGTTGGGATCAGAATCGATTCAAAATTAAGGCAAATTTTGCCGGGGGAGACTTTATGATTGGAACAGTGTGCAATCGGGCGCGCGACGTGCCATGTGGGTTTATTTGATTAGCGTCAATTTCCCGGACACTATCACAGAGGCAAATAGAAAAACAACGAATTTTCTATGAATTTCTTATACACTACACATTGAATGTTGCGGTATACTGATTGGGCAGCAAGTTAAACAACATTTGAAGAGTTCAAGAAAATTCTGAAACGATTTGTTTATATTACAATAGATTATTTTGTTCGTTAACGCAGCCGCGATGTAATAGAAAATCCTAGTATGGGGAAATGTTTTAAAAAAACTAAGCTTTATGGACTAAAATAAGAACTGAAAACCGTAGATGTAGCTTATTGTAGATATTACGACAAAAGTAACATGAAAAATATGCTTCTGATGTCAAAAAAAGTACATAAAATAAACTTATAGTGAAGCACGGGACGCAACTCTTTGAAGCGACAGTACACAGAGTATGCCAATAGTAGGGACCCCAAAGCGTATCCTTTCTGCGCTACAGTTTCGTCAACTGCCCATTCGGCAAATGCGTTTTGGTGTTTGCTTCGTTAGATGTTACGGTTTTGTTACACGTTTTTGTAGCCATAGTTTGACGAGAGAAAAATCACGCCCGATATTCCTTTTTTGCGACAAAGTTGGGCTGGATGTAAATTTTTTGTTCGCCTGATTTTTCACTGCGAGGGGCAGCGCATCGAACGATGATCTCACTGAGATACGAAATTGGAAATCCCGGTTCAAAGGATATGTCGAACTATAATTACATTTTTTTAATCTGTTTTATTTTTAATTTTGTGCCATGGTACAGAAGAAAGAGATTGTAAAAAATCCATGTGCATAAATGTCAATTAGTTTCCGCGTCAGTTACAGGAACTAGTTTTTTCATGGAAGTTGATTAAATAGTTAAAACTTAAAAGAAAAACTGGGTACTTTCCCATTTGACGTCGATGCGGACTTTTGATGCTCTTTGTAAATAGTTATTTTAAGTTTTCTTTTATTTAATTTTTATCTTTAATTTATAGTGTTTCTTAAGTTTTACATATTTATTTACTTTTTCCTTTCCTTATGTTGTGAAGAAAAATAATTGTCTCATGAATGTATTTTATACTTACTCCTTCCTGAACCATTCTGAGAATTTCGCGACTGCCCTCGTGTTGTGGGTTGTTCATCAGCCTCATGGTCACATCTCTGATCAGAGGCTGAATGCTCGAGTCGTAGGTGGAAAAGTCGAGAACAACACAGGCTCCAACTAGACCTAATACAAATGTTGCTATTTGTGATCCTATGTACTGAAAAAAAAACAAATGCACATTATACCAGTATTGTTAAAAAATTGATTCAAAACACACGTCACGATTTCCTATCTGTTCATTGTCACAATCACACAGTCAAATAGGTAAAATCTGAACCATTTAAGGAATTAATAAAAATTGATGCAACATTCAGAGCCTGTCAGTTAGATGCCAATTAAAAACACCTTTTCTACACCAAACATGCCTGACAATGAAAGGCAACAAAAAACATATTAAAAACGGTATAGGTACTGTATACCTAGTAGATTTCTAGGTTCAGTATCTACATGAATAAATTACAACTTTTACAATAGGTACCAAAATATTGTTCAACATTTTCCTTTTTATCTAAGACAAAACGATTACATTATTCTCATTCTAACTCCATATTCGAAGCGTTGTTTGTTTAAATATGTAAGTAATACGTGTCTTGACAAGATAACATAATATTCATGTTCAAACTTGGCAGACTTGGAGTAAGCCAGACTTAGATTTGTTACTTTGTAAGTACCTACGCTAATATTGATACGAATTGTATTTGTCTGATCCAAAACAATTGTAAGTTACCTAGATAGGATCAGAATTTATTCGCAATTACACACTATTTACTGGCATCATACGTTTTCACAAGACAATCGAATATGGTGCCAAGAATCTGACAAAAACGGGGTCAAAGTTATATTCCCAAAGTTGCAGAAAGACTAGTATGACACAAATATATTTCTGGGACATCTTAGAGATATGAAACAACAATTCGTGACACCATTTTCCGAAGCATATTTCTACATTTGTATGAACCTGATTGAATGAACTTATTAAATGATATTCAAGAAACTTACCGCATATAGTAGCAAGACATTTTCCATCAATGCTGCACCGCATCCGAGGAAGGCGACGACCATGATAACCAGAGAACCAATGAGGATAATGTAGACACCAATGAAGTACTTCTGCAGCTCCAGAATGCGCATCCATTCATTGAAACCAGGCTCAATGCAGATCCAAAGACAAAGAGCGAATATTGAAACACCGAATATCTGAAAAGAGAGAATATATTATATAATTAAAAAACCATTGTGCGTACTACAATAATCTCTCCACAACTAACACTAGGTCAAAATAGGAAAACTATTCTAGATCGAAATCAAGAGCACCTATCTATCAGCTACCCAGTCACAGTTGTTATGTACATTCAGGTCCAGAACTTCTCTAAAATAGTACAACATTGATCCTTACCCTGATCTTGTTTTACTAGAAATAATTTGGTTTTTGCAGTCAAACTAGTCATACTATAATATCAAAGAAGTTCGATCTGCAATGAGTTCGGTTCCATAAGTATGGAAATGATTGTATCTCCACAGGTCATTGAATATTAAGCAATCACATTGTATTCACGATACGTTCATTTCTGATTAACTTATTATTGAGAACGAATTCTGTGGTTGCATTAACTTGCAATATTACTGGCCGTAAATAATAAAGCCATTTTATTAAAGTTAATTTTGTAATTAAATAAAATGCGGTAACGATAATGTATTTTGCACTATCACTAAAAGCCACTTTGAAATTAAAACGATTAAGCGATGTCGATCTGATTATAATAATTATAAATTCGTTACTGGGAAAATAGTTATGCAACGTTATTGTTTAACTGACATGTTTTTCTTACATAATAATAGTTACGTGTATGTGTAACCAGCCTAACACAGACAAATAAACCTTAATCTCTAGCAGTGTAAATCAAGCTAGAAGTAAATACCGCTACTTATGAGTATATATGACAAAACTTAAGTAATTCACGTCTCCTAATATTCCAATAAAAGTAAAATAAAACAAACAATAGTCGAGTTGAGTTCTAAAAGTTTTATAATCTCATTAATGCTGTGAAAGAGTCGTCAAGTTTTATACCAGCGAATAAGATCGTCAGATCGCTGGATTTCTTATAATAGCTTTGTTTTTGTGTTCCAAATAGCCAGAGATAAAGCTAGGGGCTATTGTCTGGCCAATATTTACTCCACCTACATATATTTGTATACAGGATGAAGACTTTGTTTGCTTTGCAGACGGGAGATCTATGTTATCGAAGTAATTCAAATGTTTTATCGTTTTTTACATTGTTTCGTTCAGTGAGAATGGAACTTAATTACTGTGTGATTAAAGTTTTGTTTTGATTGCTAAGGGCAACGTTTTTTGACTGTGTTGCGTGACATATTTATAAAGGACGCGATTTATCTTTCTGCCTGAGTTTATAAATGAATTATTATAATCAAACTTAGTTTAACTCAACAAAAAGTTCAAAGAGTATTTGACAACTAGGTTAAAGCAGTTTAAACTACTAAATTAAGGAAGATTAGGCGATGACGTGACTTATTCTAGACTTGTAACTATTTGAACAATCTACGAGGTCTAACTATACAAATATGTACAAAGCTTGTTCTACTAACACCGCCAAACAAATTGCTTCATGGAAATTCTAACATTCATTTTTCTAAACGTTTTCCTCGCACGTCAATATTCGAGCAAGCAGCAACGGCACTCCAAAATATGTCTTTTCAAAACGATACTCTCCGAATCAAACTCCATATTTACACTAGGTCTTTGCCGTACGAAGACAGGACGAAAAGGAAACGGGTTGTGTTCAATGGACTGAAGACAAACGTTTACTGTTGTTTTGCAATGTTTTGTGCATTTGTTTTATTTTTATTTACAAAGAACTCGTCTCTATGTTCCGTCCGTGTGTCTCGGCTCCCCTACGTTGCGTAAAGGACTTTTATCACCCTGTACGTAAAACATTTGGGCGCATCTATTTCGTGCCAAAGTTCCTTATTCAAACTTTAACAATATTTAACCTTTACGTCACTTCTTTGTTTGTCTTTGCTCCAGGGACATGATGAAATTGGTCGGATACACAAATAAAACAAGTACGCGAATAAGAAAGGCAAAATTGTTATGAATATTCAAAGAGAAAATATATTTGCGCTGTCGTGGACCTAAAGTAATTGACTGTCTATATTTTGTGGACATTACCATTCACCTTTTTGTACAAACAAAATAAATAACGGAAGGTTTTGACGCGACGACTGTTGAATATTTGTGTAGATATTTTCTTTTTACAAAAACTTACGCAATATTCGTGAAAATGTAGCTCTCTCAGCTCTTCAGCTTACTTAATGTACTATAAGTTTTCGTATACACAAATATTAATCTTATTACAACAACAAAAAGGTATACATATATGATTAAAAATGGCATCTACATTAGGGACGTGAAATAGAACTAGAGCGTAACCACGCGTCATTATACTTTGTCTGCAAAAAGCGCTGTCGAGACAACAGCCCCGTTCGCAATCCATTAGTATCGTACCAAATGATGCAGAAAGTTGACTTGTACCATTGCTGGAAAAATCATATAATAGTGAGGCCAATGTGGGCCATTAATACTGTGTTACAACCCTGCTATGATTAATAGCAGCTGCAGATGAACTAATGAATTTACACGGCCAATGTATAAAAAATGTGGATTCAATGTAACGGGTTGGAACTTGTTGCCTGCATTGCATGTTGGGTGAACGCAGTGATTACTGTAAGGTGTCCATGGACACCTGGAACACCAGAGGCGTTACAAGTGCGTTACCGGCCTTGTGGGATCAGGAATTTGAGGATTGTCGGGGATTCAGGGATTTGGAAAGGAGGGAGGCGTTGTATCACGTCGTTCTTCTGTGAGGCCGTGGTATCACTCCGGTCGAGCCGGCCCATTCGTGCTTAAGCATGGCTTCTCCACACTTAAATGTTGCTGTCAGAGATAATATTTCTCTTCAGTATTCAAACCTCGGATGTTTATTGAATTAATGTGGTTGTTGGACACTACTGAACCGTTACGGTACTAGTATTAACGTTATGAGCTCTTTTATGACAAAACTTTTAGAGTACATACAAAAAACTATATGACAGCTGTAATAAAAGACAGATAAAAATATTGTACTCAGAGGACTCCATGTCCTTATTATTTTTGTCATAAAAATGTTTAGTAGGATATGATACGTTAATAGTGTATTATAATGTAAGTAATTAGTTTTTGGGAACTGTGAATTAATATATTATTTATCAATTTAGTCACGTCATATCTCACGTTATAATTGTATGATCAGACACTTGAATGTACATACCTAATGGCAAATAAGGAAAACTGTAGACACTTTGTAGTTTCTGCATATTTCTACTTCAGTGGGACAAAAGCATTACTGTATGTATTCTTTGAACATACGTGTAGGTATGGGTTAAATAGTACACTTTTAAGTGTGGGAGAGCCATGCTTCGGCACGAATGGGCCGACTCGACCTGAGGGATACCACGGCCTCCAGAAAACCGGCGTGAAACAACGCTTGCGTTTTGTTTCGTCGTACGAGTGAGGTTACCGATGGCCCAACTGCCCCCTTCCCCAGTCTTCCCAATCCCCGAATCTTCCATAATCCTCAAATCCCCATTTTACAAAAAGCCGATAACGCACTTGTAACACCTTGGTGTTTCAGGGCAGAGCCGATTGCTTACCATCAGGTGATCCGTCTGCTCGTTTACCGGCTTATGTCATAAAAAAAACACTACAATATTCACGCAGGGGAAGAAAGAGATGTTGAAAAAGAGGTCCATCATAAAATTGTGCAGATGTCAACCATTCTGTCTATTCCATTGATAAAAAAATGCATTTATTTTTGGTTCGTTAACCAACTCGATTGAACCCAGGTACATGTGCAGTATATCTACATATGTGACGATACAAAGATTGGATTTCCAAAAAACATGAGTCCAACGTGTAGTTGAAGTTTGTATTCGGACGAAATATCGGATAACATCTACCTAGTTTCGTTTTTTATAGAAAAAAAAACCGAATTTTAATCGAAAATTCTATTTTCAGAGAACTGTCGTCAAATCTAGTGTAGATTTTGTTTCGGATGTTTGAATGAATATATTCTGAATTTCTCTCTCGGATTTATATTGGGAAATATGAGCGGTTTCTTTTGAAGCTTTACTTGGTTATGCTTCCCATACGTACTGAATACAAAGAATGCTTACAATATTTTGAGGAAAATCTAGTCTTATGAACCTCCTCATAAAACAGCAATGCATTTAGTAAAATTACGAAGTTGTATAGTAATATGGGGTTGTGTACACATGGCAAGAACTATGATCTCTTGAGATATTCAAGTTTCTTTTAGGTGATAAACTGCGTACAATAATACCCAACCAACTCAGTAATCTTCCGAAAATACCAAAAATTTAATTCCAAACTTTGTAACGAGAAAAGATAAAAAATAACAGTAGTAGATAATTTATATAGAGAAATGTTCCCGCAGTCGTCCAAGATCGCGGTGAGGTAATAAACTTGGAAATAATGTAAATTTTTACATTATTTATATTCATTTAGCTACAAACGAATTCAGTTATACATTTTGTAATCGCGCCAGAACTACGTCTGGTTTTTACTCTTTTTAGAGAGTAAAAAGACGCTGTTTTTTGGAACGTTAAAAATTTATAGGGTCGTAAAAACTCACGCGGCGCCCGTTTTCATGCCAGAAGTGGAATCTAGGTACGAATATGACGGTACATAGTAAGTTATCTGAAGACCTAAGTGATCTGCTGAGAGTTATTACCCTGTAACTATCAATTTGTGTGGGCGTGCTGCCAATAATCATCATACGGTGTTAGTTACATAGCAAACAAAGCCATCTATTGATTACGCTGCATACATCGTACTTGTGAAATGTGAAATAATTTCTGGGAATTATCTGAATGTATCGCTTATCAGTAATGAATCAACTATTGACGTGTAATGACTTCACAATGCCTTATATCTAAGTATCTTTTCCGGTAGCCTTTTGTCTTAAAGATTTTTGTTTTGATCGAAACAGCAAAAATAAAATCCCATAAATCTATTTTCGGTGAACCAAAATTAAAAACAAAAACATTCCGCTACGGGTTTCCGTTACTACTGAATATTACGTCTCAAAATTTTCGCCTACGCTTAACTACAACCCAGCTCA